TTCATTGGTTATGTGTGGAAGTCTCACTGTCACCTTGCTCATGTGTCTAGGTTGTGTTCAGTCTGCATCAACTTGCATGTCTTCATCATCTTCATTGCCTTCACCTGTTGATATGAATAGAGTGTTGAGGTAATCAACAGCTTGTTGAACCACATTCCTGTCCACCTGTAGTTGTTTTGACAGCAAGCCAAGTCTTTCCAGCCTCTTTTTCCATTTGTGTGGTAGGGTAAAATTATTCCCCCCTAGATGCTTGAGTATTTCTTCCATACAACATTGTAGTGTTATCCAACAATGCTTGTTCAACACTGGATTGAACAAGTCATAGGCCTCTTTGACCTTATCTATGAGTTCCCCCAAGTTCTTAGGGAATGATTGGTATTGTATGGACTGTATGACATTGAACAACCCAAGATCTAGCACATTTAAGTCTGGTGACTGAGCTGGCTGGTAAATAAACTGTATTGTGAACCCATCTGAGTGACATGCAGCAATGAATTCCTCATCCTTAGGAATTTGATGAGGTCTGGCATTATCCCACTGAATCCATATGTTCTTAGACAGATGGGGGGCCATTTACTTTTTATGGCTGGAATTACATTGTTGAGAAACATTGCCCTGATTGCCTCCTTGTTTACATTCTGTGTTGCCTTTATTTCCACAGCTCCAACCTCCCTATTTTTGCTTTTTTTTCTTTGCAATGCTCTCATACATAAATGGAAAGATTCCATACTTTCCATCATGTACCACTAGTCCATGGGTGTCAAATATTGACTTCCCAATGACTGCCATGAACATGCCTTTTACCTTGAATCTTTTGGACTGTTGGCACCTATATGGATTTGGTTCATTAGGCTAGAGATAGAACCTCCTTGTTTCTGGGTTCAAGTAGCACCATTTTTCATCTATGTGTACTACTTGCTGCATATCCTCAAACTTAGGGTCCCCATTCTCTGCAGCAGGCAGCAGATGACTTAAAACCCATTTTAGTCTTGATATCTTGTGGTTGGATGTCAGGGCTGGGTGATTTGTGCTTGTATGTGTTCTGAGCCTCCCTTTTTTCTTTAACTTGTAGATGGTGACATGTGAGATTTTGAGAGCAGACCCATAGCTTCTCTCAGTTGTCCTCTTGTACAGAGGGACTGATTGCAGAAACTCATCTGCGTACTCTGTTGGTTTGCGTCCAGTTTTGCCAGTCTTCTTGCTTCTGACATCTATCACATTCCCCATTGCCATTTGGGATTTTATGTCTTTGATTAACCTCTGAATTGTTGTCCTGTGCACATTGAACTTGACTGCAAGCTGTGATAAAAACCCTCTTGGCTATTCCCCACCTTCCAGCTTCAATAGAAAAACATCAACAATTTCTCTTTTTTGGGAAACAATAAGTTGTTTCTTGCCTTTTGGTTGTTGCATTGCTCCTTCATGTAAAACATTGTCTTCACTGTAGTGAGTTCCTTCCATGCTGCTTGTATCATTGCCTTCCATATTGCTTTCATCATGTAGCATTTGATCAATGCTGAAAAAATCATCATCGAAAATTTCTGCCATGTTGCCTATTCTAATGTTGTTGAGTTCCACAGATGTCAGAGCTGGTAATGAAGTGGGGTGGCTGTTTTTTTTTTTTGTTGTGCTGAAGCTGAACCAGAACAAGGAGATGAAGTTGCTGCAACTGACCTAGCACTAATTAGATTTAGGATGTTAGCTTAGGTCTGACTTTTGTCAAGAAACAATGGTGTAATATGGATATGGAACTTTAGGTTTGTATGTTTCACTTGAATGCTTTTCTGGCAGGATGTTTAAATAGTAATACCTTCCCTTGAATGAAAAATTCAAGTGGAGGGAAAAATTTGGGGTGAAATTTGAATTTTGTAAATGGAGGCTGAAATTTTAGGGGGGGAAATTTTTTCCCCCAAAATTTCAGATTATCTCTCCTCTTTCTATGAAAATCGGGCCCCATTTCCTTCCTTTTTAATCAATTAATCACATGGCCCTCTTTACAATTACCCTCACCTAAACACCCACTAAAAGTTTTGCATTGGCCTCCGTGAAAAATACATTAGATGCAAATAATCGTTAACAGAGGAAGTATATTTATTTTTTTGAATGGGTTTTATATATTTATTTTTATAAAATCTAAGCTAGTAATTTGTAATTGATGTTGAATTATCTATATTAATCATATTAAAATTTGTTATCAAGGCATGTACTGAGACTATGAGCTAATATTGAACCAATTGTACATTTTTAATACCTCCTCCGTTCTATTATTGCAACAATGGACTTTTTACACTATTCATCACTCTTGTTTGACCATATAATATGATTCATACGTTAAGCAAAATATAGTCATGTGGGATCTTGTTGGATTCGTCTCATAAAATACTTTCACAATATCAACTTTTTATAATTTTTACACTTACACAATTATAGATATTTAGCATATAAAATGTGTTTTGGGATGCGTAATTTCATCCTTGTTGTAATATTAATAGAACAGAGGAAGTAGCATTTTAAAAAAAAAAAAGATAAAAATTGGATTACGGGTCATTGGGCTCTAAAAAGAACCTCATCCTATGTTAATTTGGCTTTTAGAATTAGATCCAAGTTACCGAATTTTACTACCTCTGTTTCATAATAATCACAACATTTTGACTTTTGCACTATTCATATCCTTACGTTGACTATATTTTTTTTTACAAATATAATTTCTTTGGATTAGTCTTTATGTATTTTTTTCATTATATCAACCTTTTATATTTCTTAGTAATATATAATTCGAAATATTTACCCAAAGTTGTACATTGGTGCGTGTGTTAGTCAAACTATTGGGATTATTATGAAAAAGAGGGAATAATCTGGATTAGATCGAATTGAATATTGTAAGTAACTAGAGCGATTAACGGGCGCGATGCGCACACCATAACTAGCTATGTCTTGGGAGCTATTTCAGTTTGGCCTTAAGTTGTTGAAAACATTATTGAGGGAAAATATGTAAAGAATATTTTACACTATTCATAAAAGTTATCTCAAGCTTTTTAAAAGGTAGGAATTCAGGTTAGATTGGGTTGAACATATGGAAACCAAAAATTTATTTCAGATCGGATTGAATTTGGCCTAAAACTGAACCAAAATCTGAATAGACACCCCTGAGTGGTATGGCGGGGATGAGGATGAAAATCATACCTGCTATAGGTGGTGGGGCAAGGGTGGATCTTAAGTTGTACCCACCACATATCTACCCCGCTCTACCTCGACCCATCTTAAGCCACCCCATATACCTACTTAAAAAAAATACCAAAGCTTAAACCTACCTGACACCCACTTAAAATAAGTAAAACTAATTTTAAGGATTGCGTTTCATCTTTATATTGAATTATAGTGAAGGTGTCCAACATGCAAGGATAAATTTGGTTTTGAAACCCGTTGAACAATTAAATTTTATTTGTAACAAAGAAAAGAAATTTTTATGAAAGTGTACAAGTATTATAAGGCAGGTTTGAGACAGGGCGCGCGTTTGAGGCGGAGATTACGCAAGTGGACACTCGGATGGGTGGTGGGCGGGGATGGTTATAAATTTATACCCGACAGGGCGAGGATGAGAATGGAAAGACCTAAATTCGTCCGGCTACGCCCCATTGACATACCTAGTCTTTATAAGATATTGAATTTTTTTAACCAATAATTAAGGGTAGTTCATCATTTTTTTTTATCACTAAAATAAAGAATACAAATTTTGAGGGCTTAAATATTGACATTTGTACATGCTTAATTAAATGTACTGTTAATCCTTTCCAATATAAATCTCGATGAATAAAAATTAATTCGATAAAATCTTATGCAATTAAGATGCACTCTGTAATTCGTATTACTATGTTGTACAAACATTACAATATCATACAAGATTGCAAGATCACCCAAGATCTCTGTCATTAGGTGCGAAAAAGTGAAAGATATGATTTTAAAAGGTATTTTATTACCTATTGTAAAAGATTTACTCAATTAGTAAATGTAAATAGAAATAGTAGACTTATGAAGTCATGCGTGCCTAAAATAGAGTGTGCATTATTTATTACTCGTATTAGATGATCCAATATATAATAAATGTAATGTTTTAAGGATATAGTGAGTATTTCACTACTTTACCCATTCTTCAATTGACAAATTTATTCAATTTTACTTTTTTCACATAAGAAATCCATAAGGTCGGATTAGAAGCAAGAAATATGTCATATCCTTAATGCAAAGCTTATTTTAGTATCACTAGCCAAAGCAATTGGAGCAATACCTTCACATACTTAGCCAATGATTCTATTCCATTTACATTGTAGAAGATAATGTTTTAGCATTACAGTATCACATATGATTGCATGGTGACCAAAGATCTTCATTGATTATTGTTTCTTACCATAAGTTGGAGTATTGAGAGATCTATATATCTCTTAACCTTGTTCTCATTCTTTAATAGACAAATTCACGTTGTAATCAATTATGTATCAACATTACAATATCACACAAGATTGTAAGATAACCTAAGATCATCTTTGATTTATGATTCTTTTCATATCTTGAGTCTTTGAGAGGCCTATATATACATTTCTTAATCTTGTTCACACCATTCTCTCCTTTAAAACCAACAAGTCACATAATTGAGGCAAAACAAAGTTAGTAATAGTTACATTTCTTTGATAGTAGCATATATTGAAGTTTTTAAATCAATCACTATCATTCCATCAATTCACATCTCAAAATATTAACACTAGTTTTTAAATCCGTGAGATATTTTCACATGTCAATTTTTCACATCTCAAACTTTCAACACAATTTTTTAAAATCCGTTCATTATCTTAATACATTAACTTTTCAACGCTAGTTATTAAACCCGTGGGATGCTCACACAAACTCACAAGTCATAAACACCGATTCCGGCAGTCAACAAATCACAGATTAACCCTCTTACATAGGATGCTAAAAACTGCTAATTAGTTAACGGTATTGGCTGTTATGCCTGTTATAGTAGCCAAAAAAAATTAACCAAATATTTAAATAATTTTTTTTTTCATCCTTTTTGGAAAATCTGAATCACTTTTGTCTCCCTCGTAATTCCAAAGGCATCACTTTTTCCCTCTTCATTCTCTCTCTCTTTTCTCTCTCTGTTTCTCTCTCCTCTGTATATTTTTTTGTCTGTAAGCTGTAACTCATCTGGGTTACTGAGTTTACTCGAACCCCAACTCACCCCTTCATTGGGTCTCTCAACTCACCTCACTTAACCCACCCACCAACCCAAAAAAACAATTACCCATTTCAAATTTGAATGCCGTTTTCTTCTTCTTCCCTCTTTCTCTCTCCTCCATTTTCTCCCGCTTTGACCGCCTCGACGACGGCGTCATCTACCATTGACCCAAAGCTTCAATACCCACTTCTTCAAACCCCAGAAAAAACCATTTCTTCATTCAGGCATTTCGTCGGACATCTTTCCTACATCCATGAATAATAAACCCAGTAAGAAACAGAGGTCTGATCTTAAGACTGAATCTATCTCTATCAATACCATTCTTCAAGATCTAACCATCAAAGACGACAATGTCAGTGTTAGTGCTAGTGTTAGTGTAAGTCCTAGTAGTAGTACTACTCTTTCTGGGTCTGAAATTGGTGGGTTTAGTAAGCCTAATATTGGGTGTTTGCTTAAAATGGCGGAAAATGGAGAGAGTGAAAAGAGCGTAAGTTCGAGTATGAGCGTTAGCTCAATGAGCAACTGCAGCAATACTAACGGCATTGTCGATGCGAGTAGCAGCTTTCGAAGTTGCAACCCAAATAAACCTCATAAGGGCAATGACATTAGATGGGAAGCGATTCAATGTGTTAAAGGGAAAGATGGTGAGTTGGGTTTAGCACATTTTCGGCTGTTAAAGAAATTAGGCTTTGGTGATATTGGAAGTGTCTATTTAGCTGAACTTCGAGGAATGGGGTGTTTGTTCGCAATGAAAGTTATGGATAAAGGGATGTTAGCAGGAAGAAAGAAGTTGTTGAGAGCTCAAACTGAGAGGGATATTCTTGGTTTGTTGGATCATCCATTTCTTCCTACACTTTATTCGCATTTCGAAACCGATAAGTTTTCTTGCTTACTTATGGAGTTTTGTAATGGTGGTGATCTTCATATTCTTCGACAACGTCAGCCTAGCAAGCATTTCTCCGAGCAGGCGTCGAGGTTGGTTTTATTTTTTCTTGATCTGTTGTTAATTTTCCGATGATTGGTTTATGCACCCGGGTGTACAGTGCTCCGAATGAGCAATAGTTAGGATCAATAAAAGTGTAAAGATGATGAGGAGGATTAATTGGTCTTGTATTTAATGATAATGTTTTGGTAGTGTGGGTATGTGGGATCTAAAGTTGTTAATTTAAGGTACTTATGGCTGTAAATTGGGGGACATCCTTCTCTAAGAAAATCACTTGAAAAACGTCACTTCAACAAAAGATTTAGTTTGTTTTGTAGGGACTCGATTGAATTGATTTTCCGATCTTCACATGCTATTTGATACTATTACCCTTAAAATGATGGAATTGATTGACATAATACAGTCAAAATATGGCATGCTTCATAATATTGACCCTTTTTGCATGTATGCTTACATTTTAATTTGACAATTTTGATTGATGTGGGAAAACCCTTGAATTTTCACGAATCTTTCGTTAGTCCTTTCAATCAGTTCGGATAAGTAAATTTAAGGTGAAGCGAACGGAATCTAAATTGATTCGTTTTCAATTATTGCAGGTTTTATGCATCTGAGGTGCTTCTTGCCCTGGAATATCTACACATGATGGGTGTTGTGTATAGGGACTTAAAACCCGAAAATGTCTTGGTGAGGGAAGATGGGCATATTATGCTCTCGGACTTTGACCTCTCGTTAAGGTGTTGTGTAAATCCAACTCTTGTTAAGGGAAGCTATCAGCCCAACTGTACAAATACATCTTACTGCATTGAACCTCGGTGCATTGAACCATCTTGCAAACTACCTGTTTGCGTTGAGCCCTCTTGCTTGCAGCCTTCTTGTTTCAGGCCACGCTTTTTCAGCTCCAAGTCTAGTAAGGTTAAGAGCGAAAAGTTTAATTTCACAAACACATCCTCACTTCCAATTCTTATTGCAGAACCTACCAATGCCCGCTCTATGTCATTTGTTGGAACACATGAGTACTTAGCTCCTGAAATAATAAGAGGAGACGGTCATGGCAGTGCTGTTGATTGGTGGACATTTGGTATCTTCTTGTATGAGCTACTCCATGGTAAGACACCATTTAAAGGTAATGGAAACCGCGAGACATTGTTCAATGTGGTTGGGCAGCCCCTCAAATTTCCTGAGGGTTCACCAGCAAGTTTTGCTGCTAAAGATCTGATCAGAGGTCTGCTTGTAAAAGATCCCCAAAAAAGATTGGGATTCAAAAGAGGTGCAACTGAGATCAAACAACACCCCTTCTTCGAAACTGTAAATTGGGCTCTCATTCGCGGTAGTACCCCTCCAGAAATTCCGAAACCTATAGACCTCACAATCTATAATCACACATCCAAAACATCATCAGAACCTCCTAATGACAAACAAGGTGCTTCAGACTCAGATAGGTCTTCGGGTCCTTATTTAGACTTTGAATTTTTCTGAAATTTCTATCAATTATTTAGGATAATCTTTGATTAGTTAGGATAATATAAATGCCATTTGTGTATCCATTTTTTCATCAATGAAGTTAGGCCTTTTTTCCCGCAGTATTATGCTTGGCTTATTTGTGCTTCAAAAACATCAAAATCATATGCTTTATGTGGGAAAAAAAATACAGTACTACTTACTCCATTTCTCTGTCTTTCTTTTGCTTCTGATCACATGAGTCTCTTTTCTTTCTCCTTTCGCCAATCATTTCTCCTAAAATACCGAACACCTCTTTACATTCACATTGAAATTTCAAAAAAGCATAAGAAGACGCTGTTCTTTTGGGCTTGTTTTCAGTTGAATTCAACTCAACTCAGTTCATTATTTTACTTCATTTCGGCTCTATACAGCTCAAAAGAAGGGCAAAATACTCTACAATAGGATTCATACTCACATAGTCACATATCTGAGTATGATTCTCTTTTTCCAGCTAGTTATAAAAAAGCACAGGGAAAGATGCCTAGCTTTTTTATGATTTGTCTTTCATTACACTGCTGTCATAAGTCATATTAAGCACAAAAGAAATTCTTTTTCATGTGGGTTCTTGTTCAATGTCACGATTTGCCTCGAACTAGGGAGGGAGAAAGAGATAGTGGCCCCAATTTCCCTTTTATTTGGCCAACGTGAATCTTCACTTTTAGAGGGAACTATTGAAAATGGACTACTCATTATGAAAATTCCATGCAAAAGTCAGTTGAATTTCTTTTTTTTTTTTTGGGAGAGATAAATTGACAGTTAATTTTCTGTGTTGCATTTTGCTTTTCTTTTTGGAGGTTGTGCTCCCATGTTATTTGTTAGTGTTGGGTAATGGGTTCATCTTGTTATACTCCATAATGTAATTTGAGTTATTTTAAACAAAAAAAAAATTAATAATTTATAATTAAGATAAGTTCAAATGATTTAAGGTAAGTTTAGACAATAAATATCATTCTGTTATATAATTTCAGCAATATTTTTTTATCAAACAAAATTATATACAAATAAGACAATTTTATACAAATTTTATTTTAGAAAAATAGGTTCAAACAAAATTAGATAAATTATTTCACATAAGTTCATATAAATTTAGATAATTTCAAACAAAATAATATCTGACAAATTATGATGAACCAAACAAGTAAAGCCTTAGGCCTAATTGGACTTACTTTTCAAAGTTCCAGTTCATTTCACATCAGCTATATATATTCGATTTAATAGTACTTCCTCTGTTTTTTTTTTTTTTTTTTTTTTTTTTTTTTTTTTGGTGCATCAATTTGATCAACATTAAGTTTTACGAAAATGAGTTGAGTATAATAAAATATTGTGTAAGTGGGGTTTGTTGGAAAATTAAAAATCATAGAAAATTTATATAGTAGTGAAAGTAATTAAAGGGATTTGAGAGTAGAGAATTAATAATTTAAAAAAGGTATGAATGGGGAGATTGGGGACCATGTGATGAAGGTAAAATAATAAAAACTAGGAAGTCTAAAAAAAGAACTGATGCGCTTAAGAAAATGATTGATTTGAGAAAGAATTGCACTAAAAAAAAAAGTGAGGGAGAATAATGTATTATAACATGAAAAAATATTACATTACACAAATAATTAGTATAGCACAAAATCTTATATGTGGCTAATCATATGGGGTTACCACTTCACACATAAGGTAATTAATTGAATGATAGGGGTTGATGCAATGAGCAAATGAGACTACTTTGATGGATGTGGAGTTACTCTAATGGAAAAATATGGTTAATTTCATTAATAAGTGGATTTATTCTTTTATTAGTTAAAAAGACTTATCACGTAAAAATATGAGTTACTTGAATGAACAAATGATGTTACTATTTTTCTAATAAAAGATATTGGGTGAGGCTTGCCTCACCAATGGCTTCATGAGACAAGTCCAAAATAATTACAAAATAATCACCACCTCAGTCCCACGGTAACTTCGCTCTACCGCCCACCTATATATCTTCATCTTCTTCATTCCTCTTTGAAGCTTACGACCACCATCCACCGTTCACCGTCATGGGTTTGTGACCTAAAAAAACGAGTTTTTTCGGGCTAATAGTATTTTCTCTCTCTTATTTGAAAGCACGTGAGATGGTGAATGTGGCGGGACTGCATCATCCCAAGTCAAACTCCGAGTCACCCTTCTTTGCAGAGGACTTCGATGGTGGATTCCACTTTGTTGAAAAATAATGATCAGAAAACACAAATCAAACAACGGAATTTCAATCCCAAAAAACTGCTCGTGTCAAGTGACCAAGTGCTAAGTCTTTGATTATGAATGAATATATACGTGTTAATTTATGCAGCGCTTAGCCCACTTGCACAAAACCACATTTAGGCCCATTTCATAACTCATACTCAAGTGTTTACACTATAAACAACTCACATCCTCTTTATTCTATCCATGTAGGATAAACCACATACATAAAACTATGGTTGGAGATTAAATAATGCCAACACACTTCTGCGTGCGAGTTTCTCAACTTCCCTTCTTTGCTTCTTTGGGGCCATGATTACAGTAGAAACTCAAAAATGCAGGGAGGGTTAGAGAAAGAAAATGGACAGATTTTTTAAAGAGAAATCTTTTCAAAGAGAGAAAATGAAGGAAATTCTAGAAAGAGAAAGTGTTTGTTGTTGTAGCCTGATAACAACAAGCTTCGTGAGCTAATGATATCATCCTGTCAATGAATGATATCATCCAAATAATTAATGATATCATCAAGATATAAAATAATATCACCTAGTCAATAAATGATGAAATAAAATAATGACATCATCCAAATTAATTATCATACCATATCATTCAGACAATTAATGATATAGTATATACAACTAATGGTATCATCCACATAATTGATCATATCATTCAGCCAATGAATTATGTCATCCAACCTAAACAAAAGAATACAAATATATAATATAAAAAAATATAATATCATAATTACTACTTTTATCCAAAAAATTGATCATATAGACTTAACAATAAACCATGACATCCAATCAATTAATCATATTTTCCAGACAACAAATTATATAATTAAGCCTATACAAAAGAAAATAAAAAATTTATATTAAAACATATCATGCCACAACTACTAATATCATGCAGACACTAATCATATCATATAGACAATGAATGATATCATCCAGACAAGATAAGAATACAAAAAAATGATATTAAAAATATCATCAAGCATATACAATTATTGATATCATCCAGTAAGCGGATGATATCATCTAGACAATTAATTATATCATCCAGTAAATATATTGTAACACTTCATGTCATAGATATTGTTGCGCTATGAATCATATATATATACGATTTATAGGCACATTTATGCTAGTTTTATAGTTACTTTTTAGGACTTTTTGTCGCTTCTTAGGTCGTAAATGCATAAGTTGTCCGTTTTGTGCTCTATCACGCTTCGTTTGTGTTTTTCTTAATGTTTCAGGTGATTTTATAGTCATTTGGACGCTTTCGAAGTGTTTGGAGTTGATTAGGATGATATTTGGATGGAAGTCGATGAATTGAGTTTATTAATCGAAGATCCCATGTTCGTGGATGTTGATTTTGATTATTGTGTGCATGGAAAATGAACATAACATTCACAAGGGTCACTATGTGCCTTTTCGAATTGAATTTGAGTTGAAAACGAAGTTAAACGATGATGAATGAACGATCTGTCAAAGCTGACCTTTGTTCACTCTTTTGATCATAACTTGAGTTCTACAGATCGGATTGAAGTGATTCAAGTTACATTGGAAACTAGACTTGAAGATCTTTCCAACGATAGGTCACACGCCTATATTCAACTTATGAATTAGAAGTAAAAACATGTGAAGTTGACGCTAGGCCCAACAGCGAGTGAGCGAGAGCTCGTGAGCTAGCTCGCATATGCCGAAAGCAACAGCAGCCCTGAGCGAGAGCTCACTCGCTAGCGAGCTATAGCTTGCCCTTGCACTCCTTTACGCAATCACAAAGCGATAGGTCATATATGCAACGATGTCTTATTAAAGTCCAACGTGCCAACATATATGCACCATCATGGCTGCTTGTTAAGGCTTGGTTCTTGGGTCAGTTGGCCGTCTTCATCTTCGTGCCACATCATCTTCTATCGTCTAATCGTTTGACAACTTGTGTAATTTATTTATCTTATTTATTTTCTTTATTTATATTTAGATTAGAATTTTAGGAATTATAAATACTCAAGGAGACTTGTTTTCTCATTACTCTTTTTATTATTGTTTTACGTTCGTTTTAGTTTTCTCTCTAGCCTTAGTTTCTCTTGGGCAATTCCTCCATGGATTGCTCTCGAGTTTGTTTCATTAATTCATTAAGGTATTTTATTTCTTTCATTTAATTATGCTTTCTTTGTTAGATTTAGTTTTAATTATTTATTTCATGTTTAAATAGTTTATTTCTACGGTTTGGGAATCCATGTTTATACTATGAATCTTGATTGATGTTATTGATATTTTGATTATTGATTTCTCTAATTGATAGCGGTTTATTGTTAATCTTGCAACCTGATCAATCTATACTATATATTAAAAGACGTTCCTTTTACAGGAACGGTGTCACGTGGCACTTTTCAACGTATATGACACTATGTCACAATGCCACGTCACTAATCAAAGTACATGCGACACGTAACTTTGCAACTTCACTAACAAAATAAATAAATTATGGTTTGATCTAGATTCGGAACCCGCAACCACCAACAAACAAAGATTATACACTAACCATCGCAACCAACTTTTATTAGTGTTTTAAATTTCACATTAATAACATTATATATTCTTTCAAATTAGAGGTTATTTAATTTATTTATTCTTCACAAGATTAGAAAATAAATACATATGAGGTAAAAAAAAACCGTAACATCCTAGGCAACGCTCGTATCACACACCAACTATACAAACAATTGAACATAATTATCAAATTAAAGAAGTACAAAGTACAAGCCAGCAATCCGGGGCATCGCTCGAGACACACACTAGTTGTTTGATTAATTATTGTTAATAAGAGTTTGAATTAAAAGATCTTACTTTTAGAGGCTTACTTACAATTAGCAATTCTGATTATATTAGCGGTCGTACTATATATGTTGAATTGGAAGCGTTAAGACCCGACCGTAGGCTTTCAATTGCTCTAGATACTTGATTATTTGAATTATTAATGATATTTTGATTGATTTGGAACTATAAACATGGTGAACCACAACCCTAGGCCTTTTTATTATTTTTATTCTTATAACAATTTAGAATACCTTTCTATCTCGATCTCGTGACATAATTTAGTTTCTCCAATCCTTAGAAGTTAGATTGAATAGACATCTCTTTGTGGATTCGACCCTACTTACCCTACTACATTGCTAGTTGGTTTTGTTAGGAATTTATTTTTGATAGGTGTACGACAACCTATCAATTGGTAAATCCTAATTTGTGTATGACTTGATGTGAATGAAGTAAAGTTGTTGGACTTTTCACATTCTTTTTTAGCTGAAAGGGTAGTTACTCTTTAAAATCATTGGAGTAAATCAATTTAAATACTACTAAAGTTGCGATTTTCACCAATACATAAGAATAATCAGAATTTCTAGTTATTGAACAAAAAATAAAAAATAGCTTTAATTTGATAGATGAAAATTGCTCTTTATCACGGGTCTGCTCTGTCGAATTCAAAATTGTTTAAATTGTATAATCGTCGATTATTGATATTGGTAAACGCCCTAGAGCAATGTGATTATAATTTGGTTCGTGACGATCATAAGTAGAAAGCTCATATTCTTCGGTCATTGATAAACAATTTGTTGGGCAATACTCAACACAATTACCACAAAATATACAAATTCCGAAATCAATGTTGTAATTAAGCAATTTCTCTCGGCCTAGCCCACAAGAATTTGCTTTGGTGCAGGACAAAAGTTCTACCCCAAAGGCCCCTCGCTTCATTCTCCTCAAGTAAAACCGTTTTACCTAAAACATATAGAGATAGTAAAAAAGTAAAATTTATAAATAGCGTCAAAAGTAAAATGTGTAAAAATAAAATAAAATGGAAGAAGTATAAAAAGCAAGGAGTAATTTGAAACCTATATATACTCGTCTTAGGCCATGTTCAGTTCACCCTAAAAAAATAAAAAATTCAGTAAAACTAATTTCAATTCAGTAAAAATAAGTAAAAATAAATTCAATTCAGTAAAATTAATTCCTGTTCAATAAAAACTATTTTAGTTTAGTAAAAACTAAAAATCAATAACTGTAAATAAAAAATATAATAGAGAATTAGTAAAAATAATTTCATTTCAACAAAAATAATTTCATTTTCGCAAAAATAAGGTGAAGTGAATAGGGCCTACTGTAATGAATGTAAAATGTAATGATAATTTATTTTTTTATTTTTTGGAGAACATGTTATGATAACTTGATAAGTTAACGAAGGAGTCAAAGTGTAACATTAATGTGCCCGAAATAACGAAACTTCCAGACAAGACCAACTTTTAAAATTTCTAACCTTGGAATCCCAATTCTGTGGGTGGTGCTCTTCGTTTCAATTCAACTATTCAACCCAACAAAAACACTCCACATTTCCACATTCTACATTACAACATTTACGTCGTCAATACTCACTCCAATTCCCCATAATTTTCTCTTCATCTTCAACAATCAACACTAATCAAAATCACTCCACATTTGCTCAAATTCCTTTGATTTCTGGGTGCAATTTGATTTATTATGGAAATTCGAAATTTCCTTACAATTTTTCTATCTTTTTTCTTGATTTTCCCTCACCTATCTCATGCCGGATGGTTCAGCAACAACAAGTATTCGTCTATTTTCAATCTTCATTTTCTGGGAATCAAAATTTCATAAATGCGTTGATAACTTGATTGTTTTGGCATAAAATCATTATTATTTTTTCAGGCGTCGAGAATCTGTGCTTAAATTGAAGAGTGAGACTGTTTATAATTCTTTATATGGATTTGATCCTACTCGCGTCACTCAGCTTTCATGGCATCCCAGGTTTTTCTTATCTTTCATTTTTCTTATCTTCCATTTTTCTTATCTTCAAATCTTCAATGATGTATTTAATGACTGTAATAATTGTTGAATTTTCAGGGCATTTTTGTACAAGGGTTTTTTAACTCATGAAGAATGTGATCATCTTATCCAATTGGTTAGGTTTTATATTATAAATAAATAATAAATTATTATTTATGATTATTGTTTGTTTGTTTAAATTTTTAAAAAAATTGGTGGGGTTTTGATTGAATTAGGCAAAGGATAAATTGGAGAAATCAATGGTGGCTGATAATGAGTCTGGGAAGAGTATACCAAGTGAAGTGAGAACTAGTTCTGGCATGTTTCTTCAAAAGGGTCAGGTTTGTATTTTTTTTGCTTAATCTTTTAACTACTTTGTTTGATTATTTTATAATTGCTTAATGTGGTTGAGCAATAGTCTCTTTATGCCATGATACTACTATTTAAATTATATCAACCTTGAGAAACTCCGAATTGGCGAATTTTTTTTGTGTATTATAGTCCCCTAGTGATCAAACAATGCCCCCTAAAAGTTTCCGAAATTCCTAAAATTAATAGTATGTGATATGGTTTTTAAGGGCATGTTCTTATTACCTTATTTAGTTATGATAAGATAAGTTTAACTAAGGAAAAAATTAGTTTAGACAAGGGTTACCACCAAGGTTGAATTTACAATTAATTAAGTTCAAGTAAGTTAGGTTAGTTTAGATAAGTGTAAATATATTTTATTTTATTGATGCATAGATAAGTGAAAATATTTAACAGAATGCACGTTAAATATACGGCCATTATACACTTCGCAGGTTTCATCAATTTTAGTGGTTACATTGTGACTTTTATTGTTGTCTATGAGAATTTTGAATTAAGTCTAGCGCATATCTGAGTGTTGTTTCCCTAGCTAGCCGGTTTATTCTTTGCGTTTCATTTCTAGCGGAAACATGATTGTTTTCTTCTATTTTGTTTAAGTTGATATAGTTCTTGTCAAAAAAAAAAAAAAGTTGATGTAGTTGTACTTTTGCTATTATTTTGCTGTAGAGTTAATCAAAATACTCAACGGTTGTTTTCTGCTGCTAAAATAACTAGTAAAGCACCTAAACTTGCTCAATATGCATCTAGATATCAATCTCGGCATTTCAAAAATGCCTTATGTTCTGCGCTTGATACCATACAAGTATCTCTCTGCTACAATACACCTTTGAATGTAAATGAGTTCAAAGAACTGATGCTGATATGGGAATCATCAGCCACCCCACTGCACAAATAGGACTAATTTGATCAACACAAATTCTCATCTTTGCAAAGCCTGTCGCTGCTTTTTAATCTCTTCAGAACAGCAACCCAGCCACAAAATCTATGCTTTAGAACAACAAGCCTCACCAGACCCCCTTTACCCCCTCAAGCTTTTTAATGGCAGCAACATCTGATTTATTAATTTTTATCAAACCCAATCCTTGCAGTAGCTTTGGACTTGCAAACATCTTCACACGATACATATCAGGGCTTTGCTTATCTTAAGGACAATGCCGAATGAAACTCCTGCAGATATTATTTATTCTCTTAAATCTTGCTTAAGGTAATGTCCAGTAAATTTGAATGCTCAGTAATACATATTTGACTACCTGTACCGTTTGAGCATTCGAAAGATTTCATGAGCTCCAAACTTATTTTCTAGTCACCTCTGTCTTAGCAATGGTTTCAACTTACTTTACCAAGAGCCTTTTCACACAAATAGTAATTCCCAAATAATTTACAAGGGATTGATCTTCTGGTGGTAAGACCGGAAATTCTTTGCAGAGTTAATCTGCTCTTGAGACATACCAGAGTAATAAGAAGCAGTTTTGTCCACATTAACTTGGAGGACTGAAGTTTCAGAGAACTTATTTAGACCCTCTTCTTCAGTGTAGTTGATTTAATATCTCTTTTTCAAAATATAATTATATCATCAGTAAAGCAAAGACAAGTGATTCCCATTGCCCTGTATCTTAGTAATCAGACTAATCACCTTTATAGACCACATTACAGCTTGAGATTGGTCTTATCACTCTCATTTACTTTTAGGAATCAATTAGTAGAAGTCACATTTAATCACTTTTAGAGCATACCAGTAGTAAGATAGGGAAGAATAACATTAGTAAGATCAGTACCTATTGTTTTATGCATCTTTGAAAATAAGCTGCTATAACAGCTAGCCCAAGTGCCTTAGTTCCAGGAATAGATAGTATAGCATCCTTAGTTTCTATAGCTGAGTATGGAGCAAAAAAAAAAAAAAAAAAAATCTGACAATGATCCTGAAATACCACATGCCCAGCTCCATTAATTGTTTTGTTTACCTTCCCTTCTGTCATAGCAGTGCCTAACAAAGGATTTATAATAAAGGAAAGCATCATTCACATATTCTGGATAATTCACCAATACACCATTCTTATTCTCAATTGCATAAATAGAGTTCCAACTTCCAAACTCTTCTCTGCTTTAAATACCTGTTAAACATTGCAGAATATAATCACCAGCCTTAAGCCAATCCATTTTAGACTGTGTTTTATATAGTATACAGAGGCTTTATGAGTGTCATAATAATTCAACCTTTCTCTCTCCTCTTCATCAGCTTAGGGGAAGGTCCAAATACAAAGTTAGCCACTAAAGCATTTTTAAGTGATCTTTAGTTAAAACCTTGACCAATGTCTTTGAATGCGACTTTCAAATGTTTTAGCTTCTATACTAGCTAAACCAAGTGGAAAGTTATTAAGTGGGAATCGCGCTTCTTAAACCAAGTATTAGCCAAAATTAAGTCATATGATTGGGCAAAATCCATAATAGCCTCACCACCTGTGTCCCTTTGCCCATACCTGAAGCCTCCATGAACACTCTCGAACCCATCTCGGCTTACCTCAACATGCCCATTTAAATCTCCATTGATATATAATTTCTAATTTGTGTAATAATAAATTCAAGTATTAGTCAATTAGGGCCAGCTTATAGATTCGCCTTAGGCCACAAAAATTTCAGAAATGAGCCTTAGAGATGGAAGAGGCAGCACTAAGTAGCTTTTCTTGGTGGAACTACCATCATTGCATATTTTCGTGTTTCTTAATATCCAAGGTTGTGTTTTTGATGTCTCTTTTCTGTTGCATTTCGTTAATGAACCTCTGTGGCTACTTTTAGTGGATCCTTTTTCTTGCCATGCCAGAATTTAACCTAACCTTTCATTCAGGGATATTTTCATATCTTTTCAATAGTCTATACTTGTGAAAATGTAGAAAATACTTCAAATTAGTATGTTGTGCATAATATATGTGGTACAATTGTACAAAGCTAATTTTGCTGATTTATGTCAATTCAATATCTATGCATACATTTCAAATCAAAATATGAAATGCTTACATTCACCCTTTATGTTGCCTCTGAAGGATGAGGTAGTTACTAGAATCGAGGCAAGAATTGCTGCGTGGACTTTCCTTCCTCCAGGTAAATATTGCTGTACATCAGGCCTTATTGTGCTGCTTAAGTTGGATCATGTTGTATAAATAACTTATATATTGTCATCACTGTTCAGAAAATGGGGAGGCCATGCAAGTCCTTCGCTATGAGCTTGGTCAAAAGTATGAGCCCCATTTTGATTACTTTCATGATAAGGTTAATCAGCAGCTAGGTGGCCACCGGATTGCTACTGTGCTGATGTACTTGTCTTATGTTGAAAAGGGTGGAGAAACTGTCTTTCCCAATGCAGAGGTTTTTTTTTATTTTTTTTTCCTTGACTTTCATGCTTTCTTCAGAAGTTTGTCTAATTCAATGTTTGTCCAGGGAAAACTGAACCAACCGAAAAATGACAGCTGGTCTGATTGTGCTAAAGGTGGCTATGCAGGTATACCTCAGTACAGTTTTTGCCAGAGTTATCAATAAAAACACATCTAAATCCGTGCATGGTTGTCTAGGAAGTTTTGGTATTTACTGCTTTGCATATCTTACATGGCTTCTGTGCTGTTAAGTGATCAATCAATCAAAGCCTTAATCCCATAAGTGGGGTCGGCTACTTGAACCAATTTAGATTATTCCGTGTAGTCATCCACAAAAATCTTCCTCCTCCATCCCTTACGATCCAATGCTTCATCCTCATGCAAATCCATATACTTCATATCCTTCCTAACTCCTTCAAACTAAGTCATTTTCGGTCTCTCTCTCCCTCGTTTAACCCCTCCATGGTCCCACTCTTCCACTCTTCGAATCGGTGCACCCTTGGATCTCCGTCTTACATGCCTAGACCAACGCAGACGATTTTCTCTTAGTTTGTCTGCAATGCCTGCCACACCTACTTTCTTGTGAATAACCTCATTTCTGATTCTATCTCTTAGAGTGTTTCCGCACATCCACCTTAACATGCGCATTTCTATAACCTCCATATTTTTAATGTGCTTCTTCTTAGAAGCCCAACATTCTGTACCATAGAGCAACACTGGTTTTATGGCAGTCCTGTAGAATTTTCCCTTTAACTCTAAGGGAATGTTTCTCTCACATAACACTCCTGTGGCCGCTCTCCATTTAAGCCACCCCGACTTAATCCTATGGGCCACGTCTTGATTACCATTTTTCTGGATGATCGACCCAAGATACTTAAAATTTTCACTCATGGTCAATTCATTTCTATCCAAACTTACCACTTCATCACTTGTCCCCCTCTGAGTACTAAAGCGACATACCAAATATTCAGTCTTACTCCGACTTAGCTTAAACCCTCTAGATTCCAACCTTTGCCTCCATTGCTCCAACTTGGCATTAACTCCATCTTTAGTTTCATCCACCAAAACAATATCATCCGCAAACAACATACACCATGGAACCTCATCTTGAATTGGTCGGGGGAAAAAAAAAAAAAAAAAAGAAAAAAGTGATCTAAATATCAAATGCTCTCTTAGAGTCTTAGGATACCATATATTGTAGAGCATCCTTTTATTTTGGATCTGATTCTTGTTCACAAACTGTCACTTTCATGATATTTGTAGCATTGCTGCTTTTATATTGTGTGTTATATACTCAAAGGTTTTTTTGCACAGAAAAATCATCCCCCCTCCTCCTCCTAGATGTTACAATGTCCTAACCTCTTAGGGACATAGCATGTTTTACAAAAGACCCTTTGTAGTAGTTGTGTTATTTCTATTCTCTCCCCATCGCTTAAACTAGTGAGACTAGGAAATTTAGGCTATGTTCAGTTCACCTGATTTGATCTTATATGATGTAATTTGGTCTAATCTTATTTGAGATTTAACTGAACTTTTACCTTATTTGTACACTAATCCATATGATAAAAAAAATAATCAAATGAATTGTCATTAGATTCATATTGATACGCATTTTCCAAACATGGAAATTTTCATAATACTTTAACTCAAAATTTAAGATATCTAACGATATATAAACACAAATAAAAAGATAAGATCTGATTTGAAATAAGCAAATATCAATTTAAATAAGTTGAACTAAACAAAACCATTACTATATAGGGAGAGGTGATAACTTTTTCTAGACTTGTTAAAACAGTTTTTGTGATTATTATATTCAATTTGAGGGAGTACTTGCCAAACTTTAGGATCTTCAAGTGTGATTTTAGAGACCTTTAAGTTTATGAATTTAGACCTTCACCTTCTGTTGCTGTAGAGCCTGTAGAATTTTTAGCAGCACCAACATTTTAACTTGGAGCTCTTTCACATTCTTATCATCTTGCCCATGTCATTTCCTTACAGTTTTTGATATGTCCTTGCATGCAGTGAAACCCAGTAAGGGTGATGCATTGATGTTTTTCAGTCTTCATCCCGATGCAACTACTGATCCAATGAGCTTGCATGGTAGCTGCCCTGTCATTGAGGGTGAGAAGTGGTCCGCAACTAAGTGGATTCATGTTCGGTCCTTTGACAGATCTCTGGAAGATAATTCTTCTGGAGAATGTACCGATAAAAATGTGCACTGCACTCAGTGGGCACAAGCAGGGGAGTGTGAAAAGAACCCTGTGTACATGGTAGGCAACGAAAAAACAAAGGGACATTGCAGAAAGAGTTGCAATGTTTGCTGAGCATATACATCAGTCATTTCATTCGTGGATGAGTTGTCGTCTTCTTTTCATTTTTTAGGGATGAGTTTTGGTTTACTGTGGATCACCGGTCAAATCTGATGCTGAGATAGTTGTAGATAAGTGTTGCTTCTACTAGAAGCAGAGAGCCACAACCTTGGATTGAGTTTCCTTTTTGTATTTAACTTTCTTTACTGTAAACTTTTAGTGATTCAGTACGAAATTATCTGATGGAGATAGAGTATTCTATATTTTTGTCTTTAGTATTCTAAAGCAGCGGCTGGGAATGCAGGTTTTCTTCCTACATTAAGCACAGTTCCTTCCAAAACATAGATACTTGTCTTTTTGTTTAGGACATTGAATACTTGGTGTTTATAAAATAATGACTACCTAACAAAGTATAAAGCAGTTCGAGTTGTAGATGAATAATGCCAAGTTTATATGCTTCTAATGTTTATTTTTAGTTGCATCATTACTACTTTACACACTTGTTAATGTTGAACTTCCTAATATCTTTAATCATCTAAGAGTGAAAGTTATTAAAATTTGTTATTTATAATACTCCCTCCATTACATATTACTCGCAACAATTACTATAAATGGCCTGTACACATTACTAGCAACAAACTTTTTTCTTTCCTTTTATGGTAACTTTTTAATTGCAAAATGACTATAATGCCCTTACTTAAAATTTTATAAACTACTTAACTCTTTTAATCAGATTTGATTATAACCAAAACCACATTAGATTAAACTAATGATTTCCACCAAAATCATTCATAAGGATCTAATTTCTTCATCTTCTCAACTACCACATTCATTGTTTTGCATTCAATTCATCTCGATTATGATGATTTTTTGGGTACGAATATGGAGAACTCTCCATATCTCAAACCCTAACCCTTGTTCTTCAAATTTTTTTTCTCATTCTCTCTTCTCTCTTAAGGTTTCTCCTTCTGTCGCTCCTATCTCTCTCCTCTTCATCTCCATTTTCTGAGCTTGATCTTTGTTCTACACTAGCATGGCTTCTCCTGATGGTGACCCTAACGACCTATTCTCCTATGAGTCCCTTGGATCTGGAAGATCTAAGCCGAAATCATCTGCTCAACCTCAACGGTACAAATGCCAACGAGGAACTGGGATCATTGAACCAGTTCGACGCGCATCTATGATTGCTCGGAGGAAGATAAAAGGGGCTAAACTCACTGAGTACATCTTAAGCGACGAGGAGAAGGAGGTAAAGCCAACTGAGGCAGTTGCTGGTGAGGAATAAGTTGTGCAACCCACTTCTGGATTAGATCTGGTAGTGAAACTAGATTTGGAGGTGCTGGATGATTGTGGATCTGACCTCCCACCTTCAAACCAGGAGATCTGCGGCGCTGAAGGGAAAAATGATGCTGGTGGTGATCTAGGGCCTACTGGTGGTGATGTTGCGTCGGGATCTGCTGAGAAGGATGCCCCTGAGTCCCCTGAAGCTAGAGGTGGCCAGTGGGCCGGGTTGGACCCAGCCTACCCTAACCGGCACGGCTGGTGGGTCACGTGGGTCTGACCCGGTTTCAACCCGGCACAACCAGATTTAACCCGGATTGTGTCGTGGGTCCAAAATTTTCGACACAACCCATATCAACCCAGCTCGTTTTAACCCGTTTGATTCGACCCAACTCGCACAACCCGTTTTGACCCATTTAATTCGACACACCTAGCCCGTGAACCCACCTAACCCGACCCACCTCACACAACCCAACCTGCCTTGCACGCCCAACCCGCACGCATGACCCACCTAACCTGCATGGCCCACCCACCGAACTCGCACGGCCCACCCAACCCGCCTAGCCTAACATCCATATTCCAAATATTTTTTCAAAACTAACAGCTACTTTTTTTTTAGGGAAATTGTACATGGTGACCTCAAGGATTCAGTTTTTCTATGTGGAAGACGAACTTTTTTCCAACTCCCTTAAGTGGCACCAAGGTTTTGAAAAATTAACCACAATGCCCTTTTTTAGGTTTATGGCTAACTTTTAAGATTAAAATGGTTAACCTTTGATTTTTTTATTAAAAAATTATTTTATAAATAATAAAAAAAAAATTCACCCCAACCAACCCAGCCACCACCAACTCGATCGCCGGAACCCTAACCCCACAACCCAGCCGCGCCGCCCTTAACCTCTCCCTCCCCCTCGTGCCGACCGATCGGCCGATCAACCCAACCCCAGCCACTCCTTTTCCCTTCCCCGATTCGGCCAACTTCCCCTTCCCCCTAACCGGAACGAACCCCCTCCCTTTCTACATCGCGAGCCGGCGACCCCAAACCTAAAACCCCTAACCCAAACCCGGAACCCCATAGCCCAAACCTCCACGACCCTACTCTCTTCTTCACGCATCATGCCCGCCATCACCATCAATCACAAATCTCAACAAAATCAATGGTGGAGGGTAAAAATGTTGAAAATTGGTGGCGAATTGCTGGATGGGGATGGCAGATTGGTGGTAATTGGTGGCGTTGGCTGTGATTTGGTGCGTAATTGGGGAATTGATGATGCAGGTGCGAGGAAAGGGAGTAGCAGCGGCTGCTGGTGGCTGTGGTTTGTAAGGTGTACTGTGTAGGAGTTTTTGGTGGCTGGCGGCAGCGATTCGTGAGGTGGTTACTGGTGATAGCGGCTCGTTGGTGGAATGGTGGAGTTTGTGGGAATTTTTGGTGGTCTTGGTTGGCTGCGGTGGTTGGGAAAGGTGGAATGGGGGCTTTGGGGGTGGAATCGAGGCTGGTTGGTGGGTTATGTGGGAGTTTTGCCCTGGTGGTGGGGGTTGGCTACGGTGGTCGGGAAGGGGAGGGGCCGGTTCTGGTGGTGATGATGGTACGAAGTGGTACAGTGGTAACCGGCGCAAGAGGGCTAGTTTTTTGTATTGTATGATCATCCCCTCAATTTTTCCTATAAATACCAATTCCATTTCACTCAAATTTCTACACAGCTTAAGCTTTCTTTCTCTCTTACTCAAAAATTCTTAATTGTTCTCAAATTCTCAAGTGTTATTTAGTGTTATATAGAGTTTTATTTTTGTTAAAAAAATCTCCTTAATATTATTATTAGTATTCTTAAGATTCTAAAAAAAAAAAAAGTTCTTCTCCGTATTATAATTAGTAATCATAAAAAAAAAAATGGGCTCAAGAGGAGGAATGGGAAGGAGTCAAAGTGGTGGTCGAAGTGGTGGCCAAAGGAGTGGTGGTGCAAATTGTTCGTATGAAATTAATACGGAAAATTTAAACCAATTTGTCAATGAATATTGAGATTATGGTTTAGGAGATGGGAAAAATATTCAAACGTCTCCACCACAACATTTCTCCCACCAATCATCGAGTTCAACTATGCCACCTCAATCGCAACCAACATCACAACCAGCATCTCAACCTTCATGTCAAGGTAATTTTTAATTTAATTTTTATTGTTATGAATATTTAAAAAAACTATTATTAATGATTATAAAGTTAGTTTAGTTTCCAATTTTCTATGATTTATAATTACCATGAAAAATGCGTTTAAATAATTATAATTAAAATATTTAAAATTTAAAAGCTTATTTTCATGAATAGCGTTTAAAAATTAATTTCAATAATTTGATTTATGAAAGGTGGTGGCGGTGAAAGTATTGGTCGATCGAGCACAATTTTCTTGGGTGTGGAAACATTTTGAACGAGTTGACGTCACACCCCCGGGATGGCAACCCGGTCAACCAAAGAGGTTCACGTGTACATGCCTAGTTTGCAAGGTGCAAATGTCAAGTCATATAGTCGGAAAACGGGAGATGGAACCGGAACCGGAACCTTGAGTTGGCATTTGCAAAATAAACACGACTTGTTCGAAAATGGACCCCGTCCTTCGGGGGGTGGGGTGCCCGTCCAAACACAATTGGGTGGATACATGAACTATTTACCCGACAGAGGTACACTTTTCATTAATAAAGATAGAATGATTGATGAAATGAGTACTTTAGTTATTGCTAATGAATACCCTTTTAGTTATGGTGAAAATGCAAACGTTGAGAATTTTAATAAAGTTGCATTACAACCTGCATTTACTCGTGTACCCCGAAATACCCTAAGACGTTATACACAAACTTTTTATTATAAGTATAGGAGTGGTTTGATTGAATTATTTCGTACTTTTGATGGTCATGTTAGTTTTACAAGTGATACATGGAATTCTAGTTTTGGCGAACCTTTTCTTTGCATTACAGCTCATTGGGTGGATGATGATTGGTTTATTCAAAAACGTATACTATGTTTTCAAGCTATGGAAGAAAGGCATACCGGTTTTAACATCAAAGTTCGTATTTTGGATTGTTTAAAAGAATTTCACTTAAATAATAAAGTTTTTTCTTTGTCTCTTGATAATGCAACTGCAAACACAAAGTGTATTGACTATTTGAAAAATGACTCCGAATTGCATTTGTTGTTGGGTGGTAGTCTCTTGCATGTTATATGTTGTGCTCATATTTTGAATTTGTCTGTTCAAGAGGGTCTCGCTGAGTTGCAATTGCTAAACCCAATTAGAACAGTTATAAAATGGATTAGGATTACTTAGTCAGTTACAAGAAAGTACATAGCTATGTGTAAAGAGAGAGTTCTTAAGAAAAGACAATGGTCTATTGATACCCCTACCCGTTGGAATTCTACTTTCAATTTGTTGAATGATGCTATAAAGTATCGTGACATTTTGACCCAACTTTACAATGAGACTCATGTTGATCCTACTGAGTTAATAACCGAAAGTCATTGGACTAATGCTTCTTTTGTTCGTGATGTTTTAAATGCTTTTGATAATGCAACTCATATTTTCTCTTATATCTATGAGCCTAACATTCATTTAGTCATAATTGAGTGTGTTAAAGTTGTTCACACCATCGAAGAGCCTATGAAGATTGATGGACTTCGTCCCGTTCTTGATAGCATGAAACGTACGTGGCATACTTATTTTAGTGAATTTCCAATTATTATGGAATTGCTGCTATTCTGACCCCGGTGTCAAAGCTGAAGATTTGGAAAATCTTGTAGATTTTATTATACAAGTTTAAGTATCGATTATGATATTAGTGAATATATTAACAAATGCAAATCTGTTTTGGGAGACCTTTATGATCATTATGCATCTATTTATGGTTTGATTTAGCAACACCAACTACTACTAGCACTTCCGATTCTAGATTTGGTTTTCTTGATAAAGTTATGAAAAAAAAACATAAAGCGTCTTCATCATTCTCATCATCATCTTCTTCAACACTTGCTATTAATGATTATTTGTCATATCAACATGAGACCAACAACAACTTTCAAATTATAAAATGGTGGCAAGAACATCAAAAAAGTTATCCTATATTGGCGAGAATTGCAAAAGATATACTTGCAGTTCCCGCTTCATCCGATGCTTTCGAGTCTGCTTTTAGTGCAGGTAGAAGAGTGTTAGATGAAAAAAGATCTCGCTTAACTCCGGAAAGCATTCAAATTTGTGTTTGTAAGAAAGATTGGGATCAAGCTGAAAGAAGAACTCAAGGTTTAAAAGAAGACGAAGACGATGAAGATGATTCTGTGATGATATTGGAGTCGTCAACGGATGATGTAGCTTCCGGGGATGATGATGCAACAAACATGGGTGGCTAGAAAAGTCTAAATCAGGTACGCTAAGAACTACGCGGGCTTTGATTCTTTCGGGATACGTAGGCAACTTATTTTTCGAAAATTACAATTTAATTGCAAAATTAAATTTTAGTTTTCTAAAGATAGGTCTAAGCCCTCCCCCCCCCCCCCCCAAATTCCAAAAGAAGTACAATATAAGAACTACGTTGGCTTTAATTCCTTATTTTATGATACAAGAATACGTAGGCATCTTAATTAAGAGCAACTGAGCAAGCCATCAAATTGTTAATTTTGTAAAAATTAAAACACCACACAACCCATTTAGCCATTTGGCCCACCGACCCTAACCCACGAACCCACCCGACCCTAAAATACGAACCCAGCTCAACCCAAACCCACCTAACCCACCCTTCGACCCACCCTAACCCACTAACCCACCTCGACCTACCCTAACCCATGAACCCATCTCGACCCACCCACGACTCGTCTAACCCACGAACCCAGCTTAACCCACCCACGACCCGTCTAACCCACGAACCTAACCCTGGTGTGTCCAAATTCTCCGACCCAACCCACGACCCGACCCACCCTACCCTAAATGTGTCGTGTCGTGTGTCATGAAACCCCAACCCGCGACCCACCTAACCCTAACCCAGCTCGCACGACTCGCACGGTGGACACCTCTACCTGAAGCTGATGATGTTGATGCTGGGCCATCTAGGGAAAGGAAACGCGTTAGATCTGGGCTTCCAGATGGGGTTGAGCCAGACCCAGTCTACATGGCCTACCTGCAGATGTTCTGGCCTCAATACTACATCCCCCCTAACTAAGCGTGCATTGTAACTATTTTTCTAAACCCTAATCTTAGATCTTTTACTGTTTTAAATATTCTGAGTTATGTTGGTTGGTTGATTGAGTTTCATGTGATGGTATTTGTTGGTTGATTGAGTCCCTGCTAGGGTTTTTGTTGGGTTGATTGGTTTTTTATGGCTGTTTTGTTTTTCGATGGGTTGATTTTGTTGTTGCCTAATAATGGTTGATTGTTGTTGCCTAATTGTTGTTAGTGAATTGTTGTTGTACATGATAGTTGTTGGTTGCTTGTTTTTGTGCATGATTGTTGCTGATTTAATGTTGTGTTGGTTGATTGAGACCCTAGTTCATGGTTTATGTTAATGAGTCCCAAATGCCCTTACTTATTCTTGTTGGTATTAGTTTGTTGCCATGATTTTTCTGCTAGTATTGGTTTGGGGAATGTTGTAATACATAGATGACGAGTATAGTACCTTCATTATGCCCCATTGAATACTATGGATGACTGTGATGTTTGTTGCTGTCTTGAGTCCCAAATGTTGCTTGTGTTGTTGATGCATTGAGTCCCTCCCCATTCATGCATCATAGTGTAATGCATATCCACATGATGAAGGGATTCATCTGATAGTATTCCCTTAACAAAGGATGGCTCCAAAAAATTCATACAGAGGTTGTTGTTGAGGTGCCTTGTTAAGGGAGTATGTTATAGTTAAAACAACCCCATCTGATGGATATAGGTCCCTAAGTCACTGTCATAATTGAACAAGCATGGGTGCAATTGACATTTGTCATTTCCAAAAGATTGAGGCTTTACAAAAGTACTACTTCATGTACACTACTTTCATGAATGCCTTACAATGTTCCTATCCTATTTACCAAAATACACATAATCAATAGAAAAACAAACAAAACACTAGTTTAACTGTTACTGGTTATGTGTGGCAGTCCATGATCTTCAAAAGGTTGTTGTTTGCATCTTCATCTTCAAAAGCTCGTTGTTTGCATCTTCATCTTCAAAAGGTTGTTGTTTTTTTCTTCAACTTCAAAAGGTTGTTGTTTGCATCATCACTTCATCAGTCAGCATCCACTTCCATGTCTTGTGTTTCTGCTTGCATGCATTCCTGTGGTTGGAATGAAAATGGTGTTGAGGTAGTTCACAGTATCACTTATGAGCTCCCTGCTTACCTCCAGTATTTCTTCCAGAGTCCCTTTCCTATTTTGCCTTGCCTTTGCCATGTGTGGTGGATTGAAGTTATTCCCACCTTGTTTCTCCAATATTTTAATCATGCATAACCGGAGAGTGATCCATGAATACTTGTTAAGTGTTGGATCAAATACCTCAAATGCCTCTGCCACTTTTTCAATAAGTTCATCCAAATCTTTTGGGAATGATTGATATTGGATTAACTGTATAACCTTACATAGACCAAGATCCAACACATTAAGGTCGAGGGATTGGGCAGGATGGTATACAAATTGGATGTTAAACTCATTTGCTTGAGTGGCTGCCAAAAATTTCTCATCTGTTGGTATTTAATGAGGTCTTGCATTGTCCCATTGTATGATTATGTTCTTTGATAACTGTGCTAGCCACTCTGCATGTATAGTTGGGATGATTTTGTTTACAAGCATGTACCTATAGCTTCTCTGTTGACACTCTGAATTGCTTTTGTTTCCAATGTTCCTGCTTCTCTATTCTTGCTTTTCTTCTTGGCCCTCTCATACTTAACAAAAGGAAAGAGACCATACTTTCCAGAGTGAATCATATTCCCTTCCTCATCATATAGGGGCTTGCCTATCATTCCCATAAACATTGCTTTCAACTTGAACCTTTTTGATTGCTGTGCTCTGTATGGGGTTTCTTTATTTGGTGTTAGGTAAAAGGTCATTGTTTCTGGGTTCAGATAGAACCACTTCTCATCAATGTGGATATAGTGTTGCATATCCACAAAAGTAGGGTCACCTTCACTTGGAACTGGGTTAACATGATTAAGCACCCACTTGAGCCTTGCCACTTTGTGATTGTCACTTAATGTTGGGTGATTGCTTGCTGTGACTGCCCTGAGTCTCCCCTTCTTCTTTAACCTATGTATGGTTACATGTGAAGCTTTTTGTGATGTACCATAGCTCCTATTTGTGGTCCTCTTATATAGAGGCACAGACATCAGCCACTCATCTGTGTATTCCTTGGGCTTGGGTCCTGTCTTACCTAACTTCTTGCTCCTGACATCAACAACATTCCCCAGCTGTATCTGTTTTTTAATTTCTTTCAACCATCTGATTATAGTTGATCTGTGTACTGAGTGTTTGATTGCTAATGAGGTCAGAAGGCCTCTTGGAAGTGAGTCCGATCCCCTTCCATATTAAGCTGGATATCATCAATAATTTGCCTCTTCTCTTGGATGTTAAGTTCTCTGCTTTGTCTGCCATTGTTTTCAGCATGATTTTCCTCTTCTGCCTCTAAATTTGAGTCATCACAGTCACTTGCTTCATTGTCTTGCTAATGAGTTGCTTCATTTGAGTCTGACTCTAATTGTGAACTATACGAGTGCTCTGGCATTTGTGTGTCCTGCTCCATGAGCAGTTGGTTTATGTTGAAAAAATCTTCATCAAAGATGTCTGCCATGAGTCCCTTTTCTTTTTTTTGCAGATGTGATGATAGGTGATGAAGTGGGGGTGCCTGGTTTTTTTTGGAAACTTTCAATGGAGCCTAATTCAGTACATACAACTAATGCTGCTACTAACTCAGCAATTAGGAATTAGGACTAATTTTAGTTGATGATGGTTTTTGTAATTTGCAAACAATGGCTTTTGGTTGATGGTTTGTAATTAAACAATGGTAATCGTATTCCCCCCCTCCCCCCAAAATCCCAGAAACTGTTGAAGATGGATTTAGGGTGTTCGACTCTGTTATTCCCTTTTTACAAGGGGCTTTTGGTTTTCAAATTGGATGAATTTGAAAAAGTGTAAAATTTGAAGTGCATTCAAATTTTCATGAAATGTTTGGAGGGAAAAGATTGAGGCAACAAAATAAGCCTCTAACATTATGACTACAAAAAAAAAAAGAGGGTAAATAAAACCCCTCAAAAAGTTAGTCACATGTTCCCATCCAAAAAATGGTACCATAGTCTTTCTCACCTTTTTTAACCCCTTTAATTACATACCCCCATCTTTAATTAACCCCCTTTCAATCTTTTGTCTAGGACTCCGCAATCCTCCCTTTTGTTGCGAGTAATATGTAACGAAGGGAGTATATATTTTAAGACAAATCTAGTAACATATATGATTATTTTCTTGACTTTATATTTGATTTGTATTTTTGATTTTTTTTTTCCTTGAATTTAAATCACCAAATATAAAAGTAAATTACGTGAATGGTGCAAATAAAAATGGAAGTAGCAATTAAATAACTGGGCCACGCCCAGTTTACCTACGAAGTACGAAGGATTAATTAGTGAACGTCCTCCTTTCGCATGCATTTTGTAGTAGATAGTGGTTACCATGAAGAGCACTTATACGGTGTGCATAGTTCTGTTATCAAATCAGTGTTGCAAGTTTGCATATGACATTTGGAAACCACTGTTAGTAATCAGTACTGATATGAGATAATCTGCAGATCTTAATTATCTGATAACTGTATCTATTCGCGTCAGTCTCCAGTACAATACTTTTACATTGCTGATTTGAATTGCAGAAAGTAAAAATTTGAACAAATTTAATGAATTACTGGAGTCTGTAGGAGGGAAACATTTATTCCATGTCAGCAGGTTGTACTAAAGCTTCAAGTTTGTGACAATTTATGCTCGTGATATTAGTATAAAGGTTTGTACGATTTACAGTTATATATGTTGCCATATGCATGCAGATTTAATTAGAGCGCATTTCAATTCAATAAAAAATGGGCTTTAATTACAAGGAAAAAAAATGTCATGCGAATGTCGTTAATTGGGATCCCTATTTGCATGCAATGCTTGCCTTGAGAGTTGTTAATTGTTTCTTCTTTGATTCTATAAGAGTTAAAACGGTGTGAACATTTCATCACATCATTACATCAACTTCATCATTCCTTTTCTCTTTCTCTCATTTTCCTTGCTGTTGCTGCTTGTGCTTGTGCTTGTGCGCTCTGATCTGAAGATGGGGAGGCCTCCTTGCTGCGATAAAGCAAATGTCAAGAAAGGCCTCTGGACTCCGGAAGAAGATGCTAAGATACTTGCATATGTATCTAACCATGGAGTCGGTAATTGGACTCAGGTTCCTAAGAAAGCAGGTAAATCTTCGGTGACTTTGCCTTTCCTGCACCCCCTCACTCACTCACTCACTCACTCAGGGAATGCTTCTTATCAGCCTTTGCTTAATTAACATTTGCTCATACCCTGATATCTGCAGACACCTGAATGACATTGGCCTGTAACTTAGGTTTAAATATCGGAAAGATAGCTTTCCGGATGTCCGGAGTGAGTGAGAAAGCCACCGGGAAACTCGAGGTAGACTTTTCCATGACATACATTCGGCTTGACAGAAAAAAAGAGGTTGATGGGGAAAAAAATCCCCATCTTTTATCTTTTAAATAATAAACTAAAATATTTCATTATAACACGTTATCATAGAGCTTTGACTGTTTTCTAATTGTGAGAATGTGCTTTGTACATCAAGGTATCTTGGGGACAAATGGGGGTTTTTCGGGGATATAGAGGAATAATATGGAGGACATTTTTATGTTTACTGGAGCTTTATGCCATAGATCATGTTATGAAAAGTGATTTAATCAACATTAATTTATTGTGATTCCAACAGTTCCCCTTAGGAGCTATGAGAGGGGTACATGACAGTGGCGAGTAAAAATCTTATTGTCAGAGTAACAACTCCCTGTGTTATGCAGTAAATGGCTAATGTCGTTATATGTCATTATCAGCTCATGCTGTGTTTTAAGATCTTAATAATATGCTTTGTTTTGCTTAGGTTTTTGCTGTTCTCTTTTACTAATTATTAAGGGTTTATGCATATTAATGAATTAGTTGTTTTTATAGGACTTAATAGATGCGGTAAGAGTTGCAGGCTTAGGTGGACTAACTACCTGAGGCCTGACCTTAAACATGAAGAATTCACAGAACAAGAAGAGCAGCTCATCATTCAGTACCATGCAGCTATAGGCAGCAGGTGCTTCTTATGGATCTTTTCTTTGATTTCAGCAAACATTAAATGCACAGCATTCTATCTTTTACTGATTCTTGTTGATAAATGTCAGAAAATTCATCCTTAATTTCCAGTCTATTGGTCTGTTATTAAATTGGTACAGGTGGTCCTTAATTGCGAAACATCTGCCAGGAAGAACAGATAACGATGTGAAGAACTACTGGAACACCAAGCTGAAAAAGAAGCTTGCTAAAATGGGTATTGACCCTGTTACTCATAAACCAATCTCAAAAATCCTATCTGATTATGAAAGCATCAGCTGTCTATCAAACAACCACCAAATCAGATCTCTTGACCAAAACATAACCAATTCTTTCTCCTCTCAATGTAAGATATCGCCATCTGATAATCCAGGAACTCAGTTCCAAGATGTTACCTCTTTTAACCGTTATATTTTAGAAGAAGTATCGTCTTCATCCTTATCATCCTCTACATCATCAATATCAAATGGACAGTCGAGCTCACACCTGCTGGTGCCAACTGCAGCCTACAGCTGGGGACAGAAAAACTCTGTTGACCCTCTTCTAGTTACTGATATTACAGAGGAAGAGCACAACTACCAGGGTTTTCTAGCAGCAGATTCACCGCCCCAAATCCTGGAGAAATCATCACAATTCCAGCTCATTGGTGTAAACCACTCAAACAGCAAGGTTACAGATGACAAGTTTGGGATGCCTGACTGTAAAAGTGCAGCTAAGAATACTGTAACAAGCAGCTGCTATGACTACGAGCCCTTGTCAGTGAACTCCTTTGTTAAGACTCTATTGGATCGTGACAACGAGATACAGTTAGATTTTCCTGCTTTTGATGACATCTTAGACTACTAATTTTGAACAAATTGGCCCTTCTCTTTTCTTTCAATTTTTTTTATTTTTTTTATTTTTGGAATTAGGCTACTGGTCCGAAATTGTTGGAATTTCCCAGCTTTGATGCTGTTTTTTTCTTTCTAACTCAAATAAACATGGATTAAGCTAATGGCTTGTTCTGTTCTGTTATTCATTTGGTTTAAAAACAGCAGGATATTTTCCATTGAGAATTGTGATTTCTCCAATCTTTGAGATAGTGATAGAATATACGCCAGAGTTTTACATACATGTTTTTGATACTTACATTGGGAAATCAAGGTTAAAAGAAGAGGAGCAAAATTGAGAAACATAGGTATTTCACACCTCCTTCCTTTGTGGGGTGGAATCAGGAAATGAGAGGAGAAACACTGAAACGGGTACATATAGGCCTTTTCTTTTTCTTGTTCTTTTAGGATGAAAAGAGCATGACTTAGAGCTTCTCACCTCTTTTGAGTTTCAGAAGGTCTCAACTCAAACTGCCAAGTGACGGTAGTTGGTGTAATCAATTTCATTCAACCTTATACAACATAACAAATGCTCCGGCAAATCCTCAGGTTTGTGTCCCTGATTATATCATAAATATGTCAAAATAATTTCATTAGAATCGACTTGACCACCAAAAGAAACAAGTACCTGAATGGTGAGGCCGAAATCCAAGACAGAATGGCTTAATCTGTTTTGAATTGAATCAAGACCTTTCCTACAAATATAGCTAAATCTGTGCACGTCCAAATCTATCTCAAAGTAGTTTTCCCCCTGTATGAGTTGTAGAGATTAGAAAACCATAATTCTCATTGCATATGATATAATGTTCAGATTATAGCTATGAATAGTAAATTGAAGGCTAATATATAAAAATTTCTTACTGAGTAAAACTCATGCTGAGGGCGTGACAGGACAGGTTTCTCATTGTATGCATTAAGTAGCCTCTTCTCTGCTGCATTCAGACTGAGCTCCTCTACATTCGCTAGACGTCCCAAGATTTTAAGTCTTTCTCTAAAGGGTGCTGTTGTCTCTGCTGAAAAACTCTTGACTTTCTCTGTCTCATCCAGTATCAATCTCTGATTAAGAAAGTGAAACGTACATATTAGTATGAATCAACTGCCTTGAAGTATTTTGATACAAGAATTAAAAAATTAATTGCAGTTGAGGATCAACAAATAAAATTATATTAATTGAAACTTTTGGCATATATATTTTGACAATCAATCAGCATGAAAAGGATCATATTGACGATGTACAATTATCGAGTCCATATTGGTAAAATTAGGCCTCAAATAAGAAAAGTTTACAGTGATTGCTTCTTACCCTGACATTGTCTTGAAATTGACGAGGTAAATCCTTGGAGAAGCTTTCAGAAAGCCTAAAATATAGAACAATGTTCATTCCTTCTCCATCATGCTCACGGTTGAAAACTGAGGCCGGGTACAGTGGCATCTGAACATAAAGAAAGAAAAAAAATAATGAAAAAGCAACTTTGATTTACAACATGAAAAGTAGTCTTGATGTTTAACCATCAGAATGACAGATAGCTCTTAGGTAAAAGATCATAATAAGGTGAGCACCTGTATATTTACAACAAGGATAGGAGGAATTTTTCTTGAAGAACTTATGGGTGGAAGTTCCACAAAACGAGCAATGTGATTAATCTTCCGATGAGATCGAAAGACATCAACGCCAAATGGATAAAAAGCAGCATGGTTTGGAGCCAAATCCTTCCTTTTATCCCTGCCACAAGAGAGTTTTGGATGATTCAAGGCATAGCACATAAACATAACATAATTACATTTCATGTAGAAATTACTTATCAGTTGTGGATTGTTTCGTCACCTGAGAAAATTATGACCCCGTACTTTGAAAGTGTTAGGATCAATAGGTGACCAGCAATCTGACATCTTCTTCCCTGGTGGACAGTAAGGTATCTGAGATCCTGCTATTGGTCTTTTCACGGGGGCCCTTGGTGAAACTGAACAACCCAAAATGACATGTTAACAAAATTAAAGATAAGCATTTCAAGCTTTGAGATGAAACTCATCTTAATGACACAGAATTACACGAACCAAAGATAGAACAAAAACTCCTCACCTAAAGTAGGAGTAGCATATTCATCCCTCCATCGAAAGGAGAGTGCCTTTAAGGGCTTTAACCCTGCCTTCTTCCTGGTACCAGGAGGGCTAGGACTGACTGATCTCCTTCTATCAGCTCCTGATACATTTGACATTTTGAGGCACGGCAAACAAGAGTTTGTGACTGCCGGGTAGTTTCCTACTCCAGATGAATCATCAGCTTTTACAGCCTCATGTTCATTCCTATGCCTGCATACTTTGACCACTAGCAGAGATGTCTTAACATCAAAGAGATTATTCTGTTGCTTCAATTGGGATTTATCCAAGTCATTCAACTGCAAATCCAGGGAATTTTCACTACTTCCTGTGCTTTGATCAGAAAAATCTAGGTTGCAATCGAAGGAAAACTCTGTTGGTGCACAGTCATCTTGCAGCTGCTGATCATCCGAAAAAACATGAGAATGATCAGCTTCTTGATCTTGGTAATCTTTCTGTAACAAATGGTCCTTATAGAAGCTAAAAGAAGTTCCCTCTTTCAATGATTCTGCCTCAGCTTGTTCTTTACGTTGTCTAAAGGAGGACACAGCCGAAAAACAACCATAACCAGGACTTTGGCATTTTGGAGATGACAAAGTTGATGGACAAGTGCTATGATCAAAACTTCTTATAGATAGGGAATCTGCATACAAATATATGACATCTTACCATAAAATATATTGATCATTTACAATTTAGACATGTAATACTCCGTATGATTTGTTTATACCTTCCTGAATGCTGTAAAAATCGTCATCCCAGTCAGCCTCAAACACAGGGTGGGAATCAAACCATGACTCATCCAAGCTGACTGTTGACACCGAAAATATCAGGAACAGGTAAAAGAGCATAGTTTAGGACAACAGAAGCAGATATATGCTGAAGAATCTCATCATGCAAATTCTAATACGCCACATTTACATGTAAAGCAAATATTATATTCTTAGTCTCCTGTAATGAAAATGTACACCATCTTCACAATTTGTTTGTCTTGGGACCGGGAGATTCGTATAATTTTAGGAGATTTTCTTTACAAATTACCCCCCTACTTTTTAGTCAGAAAAAACACCAAAACACCCATATCCATGTCAAGAATATCCTCTAAGATTATAGCACCTAAATATCATTCACATATGTAATCAACTTTCTACTTTTAGAATAATATACACAATAATGTTAGAGGAAAATCATGATAAAAGCACCTAAATATTAATGGACCATATACTGGTATAGTGATATACAGATATACTGATATACTCTTGGAATCATATATGTAAGATATCACATTATCTCCATGTATTTAACATTATTCATCCTTAATCTTCATATTTTTATATGATCAAATTAAACTCCCTCTATTGCATTACATGACTTTTTATACACCAAATAAACAATTACCCCCTCCCCACCACCAAAACAAATGAAATTTGATGACGGTACCTCGAAAAGTTGGATTAATGTAAGAGGGAAGATCATTGAAGCCCGTCGTTTCATCAATAGGAACCAGCTTATTACTGGTACAAGACAAGCTTTTCTTAAGCCTTGACCTCCTTGTTTTTCTATATCTTTTTGAGAACTTCAATTTTCCTCCTACACAACTTTCTGGCTTTGATGCACAAGCCCCCATTTTTGTTCCCCCCTTAAACTTTTCTCTCTAAAAAAATAATGCAACTTCAAAACTCAAAAACCCAAGTTGAAGAGACCTCTTCTATGGCCTCTTTCTTTCTAAGTAAAGCAAAATATGACATAAACAAACATAAAAAATAACAAACAAAATTAAAATAAATAACCAAAAAATTCCATAATCTTGTTACTTAGAGCTTAAAAAAATTTGGTGACAGTTTAGATTCTGTAAAACAGAGAAAAATTCAATCTAAAGATTGACAAATTCCTTCTTAATGAATTTATGAAATGTTATTTGACAAATAAGGTGAGACATGAAGTCAATGATATGAAGAAACAAATGTTATTAAAAAAAAATAATGAGTAAAACCGGGTCCGACTAGAGTAGCGTTGCCCCCACGATGTTTAATTGACACACACGAGCGTCCTTATAATGTGCCTTATGCACGTATACTAATAATATGGATGAAACTTCTTTGGCTTACTTGTTAGGCCTAGAGGTAGGGATTCATCGTTCGAGTCAGGTCAAGTCGGATTTGGTGATCTTTGAGTGATCATTGGTTCTTTGATGATGAGTCTTTGTTTTAGATTATGATAAATCAATATCAAAATATTTAGGTTGGAACTAACTCGGGTAATGATGAAATTTTGGTAAAGTTTGGATTTAAGGTAAGTGATTCAGGTTGAATTATTAGGAGACAAGTGAGCTTTACCAAATTTAAACTTGTGACCATATTGAACAATTAGACATCATATGGCGACGCTAAAGTGCTAAACATCACCATTTTTTTATTTTCTTTTTTAAAAAAGCACATCATTTATTATACAACAGGCCATATTTGGTGAAAAGCAGAAGCTGGTCGTATTTGTTGATTTTGACTGACGGATTGTTCTGACTAATTTGACTAACTGAATGCATTAATTGATTTGACTAATTGGTTGTATTAGTTAATTGTATAAAAGTATTTGGTAATTAACTGATTTATTAAAGCTGTCTTAGCATGCAAAATAACGAATAAGGATATTGACATATTTTATTATGGTTGGCTTTTGGGTTAAATGAGGCTATAATTGTCATTTCACCTTAAACTACTTGAATAAGCTAATGAAAAAGCTCCTTATTTATTACCAAACTCTATCACAAATTTACAACTTATTGGGAGTAAATTAGCTTATTTGATCAACTTTAACTGATTGACTAGTCAAATAAGCTAATAGTAGTATTTGGTGGTAAGCTTATTGGAAGAGATGATTTGCCTAAATAAGCTCTTCTAGAAAAAGTTGGTAAGAGCAGCGTTTTGCAAAAAGATGATTTGGTATGATGAGCTAAATTACGAATTTGCCCTTATTTATTACCAAACTCTATCACAAGTTTACAACTAACTAGACCTGACAATCCTGACCCAGACCCGATGACCCGACCCGAATGACTAACCCATGACCCGAAAATGACCCAAATACAAGGACCTGAAAATGACCCGAAACCCGAAATTGACCCGACCCGACCCATACCCGACCCGAAAATAGAGTTGACCCGATCCTGACCCAACACCCGAATTGACCCGACCCGACCAGAAATTGACCCAAACAAACCCGATACTCAAAATTGACCCGAACAGACCCAATACTCAAAATGTCCCGAACTAAAATTACCTTATAATTGAACTAAAAATGTCTAGTGCCAAAAATAATTTAAATTGTTCATCTTCAACAGTAGCCACACTCATAAACCGAATTGATAGTTCTTATTATAACAATAATAAAATATAAAATTATTGATTTGAGCTAGATCCACAAATTAAATGGAACAACTCGAACATGACCCGACCTAATTTTGACCCAACCCGAATATGACCCGAACGTACTTTACCCGAAAATGACCCAACCCCAAATCGACCCGATTCGATACCTGACCCGAGCCATACCCGAAACCCAAAATGACCCGACCCGACCCATACCCGGCTCGAATGTTCACTTATCCAAAATATCTCGACCCAAAATTGACCCGACCTGTACTTGACCCAAACGACCCATTTACCAGGTTTACAACTAACTAGCACAATTTAATTTCACTTCCAATTCACTCCTAAGCCACTGCCACTCCATACTTCATAGTAGATCTCAAGGTTAGTTTTCTCAATTATCTTTGCCTTAATTTTCTTTGTTTCGATTTTGTGTATTTTTTTTAGTTTTCTTTCATTATTTTTCATGCGTTTTTTTTTAATTAAAAAATTATCAGTTTTTTTTTTTTTTTTTTTTTGTCAGATAAATTATATGCACAATTATATATACGTAGCATGTTGCATCAAAAAAAAAATATATACGTAGCATGTAAATTTATCTAACAATATATCTATCTTTTGTGCAATAATTAATCCTTTAAAATTAAATATGCCAATCATCTCCTTATTGGTCATTTTGCATGCTCAATCAGCTTTAAGAAACCAACCATTTACCAAACACTTTTATACAATCAGCTAATATAATAAGTTAGTCAAATCAATTAATACAATAAACTAATCAAAATCAGCTAACACAATCAGTTTTAGCTTTCAGCTTTCAACTTTTCATCAAACACGACCTATATATCTTATTGAAAATAAGCTTATTTGGTGGAATGAACTCTTTCAATCAGCTCACCACCTAACATCCCAATTAGAATATTATAGTGGCAATCATCTAATATTAGTCAAATAAACTAATTTTCCCCTAATTTTCTACTTACCAAATATCTCCTCCTATAACTTTACAGAGTACAAAGTCACCCTCATCTTACTTGCAAATGATCTTACTCGTGTTAGCTTATTGCTAAATGTTTGAGATTTCATATCAATAGTATTAATAAAAATTAGACATTTAAAAATACACATAAAAAAAATTATTATAACAAAATCGTACTTAATCAGTTAATCTCATATAGTCATATATCTCAAATAGTACTTTGTATAAGTATGGTCAAAATTCAATCAAACCAGAGCATGATTAAACCAAAATTAAAGATACAGACTCAATTAAATGAAATTTTAATAAACTCGGGCTTTAAAGCTTTATTTCAAATGAAAAGAACTTACAAACTAAGTAATAAAGCTTTAAAGCCCGAGTTTATTAAACTTCTAAAAGTTATAATTATTGTAACGAAACGAAGGTAATATAATACTCATACATTGAAATCTTCGTACCATAAATCTAGGCAAACACAAATCATAAATCATTTAATTTGTGATGTGGTAATGTATGAATCTTCCTTCTTGTAGCATAAATAATTTAAGAATGGCATTATTTGGCCAAAATGACCAAGTGATGAGAGATGTGTCTTTGTTGTGTCCTTTTCTTTACAGCTATATATATATTTTTGTGGGGTACGTAGCTACCCTGGCCTTCCTCCTTCGGTGTTTTTCATGATATATGCCACCATGTTTTAAGTTCTATTCATGAAAACTACAAGAAGATGTTATGTTGGATTATAGATTCTTGATTACGATTGGTTTTTTTTTTATTATTAATTTAATACTCTCTTCTTCCGTATTACAAAATTATATAAGTAATCTTATTCCCTAGATTTTTGAAGAATGCTGGTATGATTTATTATTGAGCTATAGTAAAAAGTTTAACTCTTAAGTTTACATTTATTTTAAAAACTTCATAATTAAAAATGAGTGATTAATATATGATTCTCATTTAAGACATAGGTACCTTATCTATGCATTACATTAATCATATTAGCCAATAGCCATCATAGCATATATCCATGAGAAATTACACATCAAAATACAATCAAACTCCTTGCAAATTAAAAGTTACCCGTAAAAGCATTAAGGTTACCATAAAACTTGTTAAATTTACCCTCAAATTGACCGTCTTACAATAAAATTAACGTTAGCCAGCCTTATACAAGACTTGCCATGACCAAGTATATATGCCTCGAGTGCAGAATTGAATGGTCAATATGGTCTGGTCTTCAATTTAGATTAAATTATCGAATGGTGTAGACAGTATCAAAGCTGGATATATGGATGATTTGTATGATCCCTACCCTTTTTTAGCCAAGATATTATAATTATCTAATGGTGTGTTTGGATAAAGAAAAGGAAAGGAAAAAAAGGAGAGGGAGGGGAAAGGGTGGGAAGGCTAGGGAAGGAAAGGGGAGAATGATGAGTTTTTCTCCAAATCTCTCCATTGTTAGAGATATCAATTTCTTACAATTAATCCCTCCATTTCTCTCTCCTCCAATTCCTTTCCTTCCTTATTTGTTATCCAAATGAATGATAATATATCCCTCCATATGCCTCCATTTCCTACAATGGAAACAAAGTGTAAATCAAGTATTACCAAAGTTATACTATTCGTTTTTCTAAAAACGTTTTGCACTTCTTTTATACGAATACAACATTTTAAATTAAAGCTTTGTCTTGATTGTTTTCATTTTATTTATTTTTTAGGTGTTTTCATTGTCACTTGTCAAGTAAACCAATTATGTAAGTGACATGATGCCCACCTCTATGCAAAATTTTTAGTAAGTTCTAATATTATATCAGTGGCTAATTTTAGACTAAAAAGTATAAGGATCTAGTAGTTTTGAACTTTAACCTCTAATTATAATTATAGATATTTAACTATTGACAAATAACAATGGTATAAGAGAATTCAAGTGTAGAGTGCCGAGGTCAATCAACCCACATAATAACTATTGTATAAGCTTGTTACATGCAATTAAAAGGTAGATATTTATTGATATAAGGAAACAATATGCGAGTCAGTATACTAATTTAATTTACATAAACTTATATGGATCAATAGATGTATAATATATGTACAATATATGTACAAAAATAATATAATTTAAAAATATGTATCATTTTGGATATGTGGTTGATATTATGAAATAAATTTGTAATGTTATGATTCAAGCGTAAAATTTTAAGGCCTCGATAAAATAAATTTAAATATTAATTTTATATAATAAAAGTATTATATGTTTGATTCAAAAGTATTAAAAGTATAAATGCAATATGCAATTCATTTTATTATACATAGTATACATTTTATAAGAGATATTAAAGATATTAATTAAGTGCATTTAAAGCCAAATTGGAGCAAAATGGGTATCTCCTTATGAATAGTGTGCTAACCCTTTTACCACTCAAAATATTCAATTACAATTTTGTCGTTTCCATTTTTTTTCCTCTTTGGTTTTCCCTGGTTGAAAATCATTCAGCAGCATTCTAACCCTTTTTGCTTTCCCTTGTTCTCTCTCCTCTTTTTGATCACCTTCATGGCCACCATTAGAATTGGTTTATTTGGAAGGCACGACAAATTACAATTAAAGGAAGGACTGTCATTGTCATCAGATTCATAGTCCAAAAAGACGGAGGATCTTTTTCATTGAAGTGGCTTATGAAGTAGGATTTTTTTTTTTAAT